GCATTTGACCTTGTTGATGATATGCCATTTGACCTTGTTGAGGGTATGCCATTTGAACATATTGTTGTTGTTGCTCACCAATTGGGGGAACAACATTTAGCCTTGGCATCCCTAGATTAGGTTGTTGCACCGCATGATTAACTGGTTGTGGCATTCCCAAGGGTGGATGCACACCTTGAGGATCCACAATATGAACTTGTGGTGGGTGGTGCACACCATTATGATCCACATGACCAAGATCTACAATGGGATCTTCAATTGGATCTTCCATTAAAGGTGATGGAAGATCAAAATTTGAAAGATTAAAATGACTATCCCTAGTACAACTTCTTAAACGCCGAAGAAAAATTTCGAGATTTTGATTTACAGGAGCAAGAGGACGATTAAGTGATCTACAACCATGCATGCACTAGAACAAGTCAACACACCAACATTTCAAAATTTCAACCTCCACATACGATGTTCCCAAACTCCTCAATAATATCAATGCACTTAAAACAAATAAATGCCTCCACACGGGCCGATGCCTTCTACAAGAAGGTATGCTTGGACTTAAAAATAAAACAATTCAATTTAAGCCTCCACTTGGGCTGTCCACAGCATGCAAATTGGTATACAATTAAAGTACTAAAATTAAAGAGAACTTACAGATGGTCCTTAAGCAACTTCAAAATTTTTTAATTGCTTCTAAGTCCAGCATTTGCTCCACTTTGCTTCAAGTACCTAATTGACAAATCAAATAATAAAAAAAAATTAAAAATTAAAATGACTTAAAAGTAGACAATCAACAAAAAACTAATGTTTAATTCAATTCTTCAAAACCGTTAGATCCCCGGTAACGGCGCCAAAACTATGGTGCGACCAAGCGTGTGCACAAAATAATGCACAACACTTTAGGTTTAGAAATAATGTCAAGTGGGCACCATATTTTAAAATTTATAAAACCACTAAACACTTATACTATGGAGTATGAAGTGAGTAGGGATCGTCCCAAGAGATCTAAACAATTATAGGTTTTCCAGAATTGAATTCTACTTTAGTGCTTATGTGATTGCCAAAAGAGTTTTGTTTGTGATTAAAACTAATTTTAAACTAAATGATTGCAATAAAGAAATAGAGTTTAAGAGATTGGAAAAAGACTTAGGGTGTAGGATTCACCACTAAGCACATTCCCTAACTCACTCACTTTCAACTAATTGGGGAAATAATACTATGTAATCTATATGTGGCTAACAAGTGCAATGAAAAGTGTAAACCATCAATTTCAAGCATGAATCAACTACCTAATGACAATTAAACTAAGTGTAGTGCAATTCACCCATTCAAAGCATGATTTATCAATCCAAGTTACAAATTTAACACACATTAATCTAAAAGATAATGCAATTGTGACAAAAAGTATGGAATTCAAACATAAGTATGGATGGTCTACTTACCTAATAATTGAATTGCAATTAAATTAATTAAACTTAAATTAAACTAATTAAACATGAATTTAAAACTAATTAGACAACAATTTAACCTAAACATGTAGTACCATCCATCAAATGGAAGCATTTTTCATCAATTTGAAACACAATTACAACTAAGCAATACCATGCATAGCCATCACAAGAATCAATTAACAAAGAATTCATGTGTAAAATTTGTTTATCAATCAACCACACATAAGACAATATGAGATTAATACAGATAATCAATTGGAAGAATTTAATTCATAATATTCAAGACTATACACTAATTACATAAATTAATCCCCAAAAAGTATGAAAAGAGAGAGAGAATAGGTTACATGCTTAGGGTTTATCCAACCCTAAGTAGAAGAATCAGCCACTCATGGTTGATAGAGTCGAAGACAGGACAATCCCCATCATCTGCTTCATCTTCTCTGAACTTTTCTTCCAAACCCTAGCCTGTTCTTCCTTTTTCCCTTTCTTCGCGTGTTTTTCCAGAGAGAAAATACGATACTACGATACAGAAAAATAAATAAATTAAAACTTTTTTTTTTTTCTCTAATAATCTTTACCTAAATAAAAACTAAAACTAACCCTAATCTAATGGTTCACTGGGCCTTAAGTAACAATCTCATTAAAGCCCAACAGTTCCCAAAATGAGCCCAAAAATTAAATAAAAACTGTAATGTTGCTAAGTCCTGGGGGATCGATCCCCCACCCTGGGAATCGATCCCCCCAGAGTTGAAAATTTCCTTTAAGCCCTATTTAGCTCCATTTTAGCCCCGAACTCATTAGTTTGCTTCTTCATCTTTGGGAACATCATCAAAAGCCTGAGATTGACCGCTTTTGAAGAATAAACACACTATACGAGCAATGGGCTGCGACCTCCTTTTTGCCATTTTCTGAGCTTTTTCTGAATATCTTTGCTTGACTCTAAAAAGACTTTAATGGACCGTTCTTAGCTCAGTTTAACTTTATTGCCCTGAAATACACATAAACATAAATTAGGACTAAAACATGAAATTAAGATAGCTACAACGACTGAAATACCCTAACTTAGGTGCTAAAATGTGCAACATTTAAGCACTTATCAGTAGACCTTGTAGGTCTCCTGTCTGTTGGACGGAGATGGGCGAGACAGCCGCCTTAGGACCCGACATTGTACTCGAGACTACCGAGAAAATTAAGTTGATTAGACAGAGGCTGCTCACGGCTTAGAGCCGACAGAAGAGCTATACAGATAGGCGGAGGCGACCGTTATCCTTTGAGGTGGGAGATCACGTTTTTTTCGGATTTCTCCACGGAAAGGGTTGATGAGGTTCGGAAAGAGTGGCAAGTTGTCGCCACGATTCATTGGGCCTTTTGAGATCTTAGACCGTGTAGGAGAGGTTGCCTACAGACTTACTTTGCCACCGCAGATGGACAAAGTTCATAATATCTTTCATGTATCAATGCTACGGAAGTACGAGCCGGATCCGTCTCACATTTTGAGTTGGGTTGATGTAGACATTGATGAGGATGTTTCTTACGAGGAGGGACCAGTTCAGATCCTTGACACACAGCAGAAAGTGTTGAGGAAAAAGATGAAACCATTGGTAAAGGTTTTTTGGAGGCATCATGGAGTTGAGGAGGCTACTTGGGAGCTTGAACAGGAGGTTCGCTCCAAGTATCCAGAGTTGTTTTCTTCCTCAGGTATGACTTGATTTCGGGGACGAAATCTTTTAAAGTTAGGGAGAATGTAATAGTTATGATTATATATATGTATATGTATATATATTAAAGTTAAGATTTTTTTCAAAAGTAGGTGGGCCCCACCAATAACTTAAAAACATGACTAAAGGCCATAAGGTCATTATGCAGACATATATTTCTCTCTCTCTCTCTGCTTCCGGCCTTCTCTCGGCATCTCTTTTCTTTTTCTCTTTTTGTAATTTTAAGCTTTGATCTCATCTTCACCAATTGGATTTTGGTAGAACATTGTGAAGCAAAGTTGTTGAACTCGTCGAGCCCGTTAATTTGATAGGAGCCAATCATCATTTGGTGCACTCTAGGGAGTTCAAAATTCTAGGGTTCTTGGGCTCAAATTGGGGGTTTTCATCAATTTGAGGTAGGGGTGTTCTAATCTACAACTTCTTAGCTCTTTTTGTGAATTTTGCCCCTTAAATTTGATCCTAAGCATGCTAATTTTGATTATCTAGTTTGTGGTTGAAGCATGTTTAACTAAAATGCTAAATGTGTTCCATGTATTATTTGAATTCATATATATGACTAGATTTATTACGGTGATTGAGCATGTTTGGTGTTGACATGTTGTATGTCCTAAGATTATGTATTTATTTATTTATTTATTGCTTTGAAATAAAATGATGCTATGGTCAATAAATAAATAAAAGAAATGAATGCTTATAAATTTCTATTAAATTGTGATGATGATGTAAATGGAATGTATGAAAGCCTATGGTTGAATTGATAAATTGAAGCATGCGCATTCATGCATTCATTGGGAGAGAGAAAGGGGAAAAAAAATGTTTTTTTTTTGAACAAACGAAATTATTTTAGGGAAAATATTTTTTTTAAAAGAGTTTGCGAAAACCGGACGCCTAGGAGGCGCCTAGTGGTCCGTGGTGTTAGTGTAGTCTAGAAGGGATCATGGTTGAGCTAACTAGGCCGGATGCGACGCCTTGGAGGTGCCTTGTGGTCGTGGATAGTTAGTCAACCCTCCATTCGTGACGCCTTGGAGGTGCCTTGGGTCGGATTACACTAACGGTTTTGGAAGTTGAAACGGAAATGTTTCGGAAAATGGGGAGTAACATTTGCATATTGCACTTCATGACATTGTGGTAAACTTGTGATTAGGTGGTATTTGTTACATACTTATTATTGTATTTGAGGGTGTGTGTTTCCTTATAGCATGATCCCTTTCACTTTTTTATCTATTCATTGTATGGATTCACGGGGATATAAGAAGTGTGTCTTAAACACTTCCTACTGAGCTTATGCTCACCCCATTATTTCTAATATTTTTCAGGACATGGAAAAGAGGTGGCGGACGACGATCCACCACGATTTTAGACGAGCACGGAGACCTATTTTATTTTATTTTTGCTATCTTTTGTATTAAAACTCTCTAATATTTTGTAAATGTAATATTAACTAACTCGTAAAACTTTAGTTTAATTAGTATACTGTTGTAAGCCATGGACTTTTAAATTCTAACTACGCTTTTTGGACTGTAACTTGATGTAACCAAAGTATGTTCCTTGTTGGATAAGATGGAGGAATGGGATTTTGTATGTATGTAGTCACTTTGGAGATGTGATATAATATATGTATATTGCGTTGGGACAGGATATGTTAGATTTAAGGCCCAGTGAGGCCATTGTATTTATTTTTTTGTATTTCAACAGGTTGTTTAGAGACATTTTCTGCGGAGGTCATGCCGAAATTTTTATAGATTTTTATTATTATTTTGGTATCCATTTGGGTCGTTACATGTTCGGTCTGGTTTCTCATGGTCAATCTTCACTTCATGAAGGGGTTCTGTGGTCAGATTGGTGGCTCCTCCTCCCCATCCTTGCTGGGAGGAGGGTTCTGTAATTGTTATTTTGGACTGGCTGAACGGATGGGATTTTTTTCCTTTTCCAGCAGATTTCAAAGTTACTGAATAACATTCTTTAGCCGCAACCTGGTCCCCGTGTATATCTATTACCTTGGTCCCATCCGGACCCAAACATCGAATCACTTGATGCAAGGTTGACGGGACGCCCTGAATTCTGTGAATCCATCCTCTGCCCATCAAGAGGTTGTAGGATGGATGAATTTCTACTACCACAAAACTTTCAGTCAAAACCCGCTCAGCGGCTTGTACTGTCAATTCCACCATTCCAATGGGTTCCACTCGCTTCCCATCAAATCCAAGCAACGGATTTCCTGTGGGTTTAAGTTTTTCGGGTTCGATCTCCAGTCGGTCGAACGTCACCCTGGGCATGACATTCACACTACTTCCTGGATCAATCAGGACTCTCCGAACCAGGCATTCTGCAACCGTCAGACTGACGACTAGTGGATCTTCATAAGGAATCTGAACACGTAGCAGGTCCATTTTATCAAACTTTATCGATGTGGACGCGTTCTACTGGTGCAAAGCATGCACACTGCCAATTCTTCTTTTCAGCTGGGCCTGGCGTAACCTTGTTCTGAGCAACTCTTCTGACTCCGTCGTTTATTCAGGCCAGCCATGAATTGCGTTTATAATCCGGATGGGCTGAGAGTTGTGTTGGTTCGGCCTCTGGTTCCGCTTGATTTGCTCAGTCGGGCGGTTATGCTCTTACGCCGGACCTTAAACATAGGTTGCAAATTCCCCCTTTGCGATTAGCATCTCTACCTGCCTCCTTAGGTTCCTGCATTCGTTAGTCTGATGCCCAAAATCACTATGGAAAGCACAATGTTTAGTCTGATCCCTCTGTTCAAGAGGTTGCCTGATTGGCAGAGGAGGACGAAACTTATCTTTGTTCTCCTGATATAGCCTTGCTAAGGTGACTCTGAGTGGAGTGACTGATTCCTCCTCCCTAGGCCTCTTCTCCGCCTTCCATGAGGGGTGACGCTGCGGTTGAGCTTGCTTTTGCCGGATCTTGGCTTTGGACTTCTCCTCCGTCGAAATAATTGACGTCTTCCTTGAATTAGCTGCTTCTTCCTCCTCAAGACGAACAAAACCGTCAGCTCTCTCGTTCAGCTCGTCCATTGTCTTTGGCGTATTAACCACTAAGCTGGTGTGGAACGGCGTCCCCCGGTTCATTGTGAGTTTAAATGCTTGGACTGCTGCTGACGGGTGACACTCCATTACCATGCTTTTAACGAGGTTGAACCGGGTAAGAAAAGCTTGGAGCCGCTCATCCTCATGCTGCTTCATTGTGAAAAGGCTTGATACATCCTTAGCCGGACGTTTATTCCCGTAGTACTGGCTTATGAACTTATCGCATAAGTCCTGGAAATTGGCGATTGAGCCTTGAGCTAGATTCTTGAACCAATTGAGAGCTGGTCCAGCCAAGCTCGTAGGGAAACATTTGCACATCAAATGATCATTATTAGTATTCAAAGCCATTTTCAACTGAATATGGTATATGTGATCGACCGGATCGGTTGTTCCATCAAACAGAATGAAGATCGGCATGGAAAACTTCTTCAGATTCGGCGCATTCATAATTTCATCAGTGAACGGCGATGCGACCGTCCTTGTTGATGAACGCAATGCTTCATTTTCTCTTGAAAACCGTGACAAAAATCCCCGATCGGCAGATCTCCTTTCTGAGCTATGGTAATCAACTGTCGCTAATGAAGGTCGGTATGGCGGATCGAACGACCTGTCCTCCGCAAATTCACTCCGCCATGGTGACGCAATCCTATGTTCATATGCCGGTGCTTCCTCCCTCATAATCCGTTTGTGATGCGGTTCCAGACGAACAGATCCTTCTCGATCCTCTACTCGGCCGACATTCGGAGGCAGATTACTGATTATACCTTCATCACGACGTGGACCACCACGATTGACATCTTCTGGATCACCTTGACGATCACCTTCGGACGGTAAAGCTCCCTCTCCATTCCAGTTCGTAGCTCTGCATTTTCTTTCCTCAAAGCATCGATCATGTTCATTAGCTCATCGAGCTTTGTCTGCTGGCCGTTCTCCAAAGGATTCGAGTTCGCCTCTCCGATCATCATTCCAGATCGGAGTAAAGTCATCAACTGTAGACTTCTTGACCAAATCGGAGTTCCGCTAACGCGCGCACACCAGATCTGAACTTACACTTGCTGAATTCAGTCCACTACTGGCCGGATTCAGTAATCACAACAGATCGCAATCGCGCAGTTCGCCGGATCAAGCAAGGATCTGATCTGCTTGGATCGGACGCCAATTTTCCGAAATCAACCGGAGCCTGGACTCGTCAAGACAGATCGTATTATTACCAATGTTGATTTAGCTTTCGCAGATTAATCGTCTTCCTCGCAGAATGCGTTGAATCGATCCGATCTGGAATGATATCAATCAATCCTTCATGTTCTTCCCACAGACGGCGCCAATTGAAAGTACAAAGAATTTCCCCTTCTTACAGAGAGAGAGCTGAGAAATTCTTCACTCCAATTGCCTTTTTCCCTCTCGATTTCCCTTATTTATAGACGGTTACAACCTCCTTTGGCCTGGGCCTTATCTGCTTCCCTTTGCCTGGACTCAACTTCCCTCATTTTAACATGGGCTTCTGAAATGACTTTATGGACCTGGGCCCATCCAGCGCGAACTTGCTCCATCCCGTTTGTCCACATCCGACCCGTCCTGTGCAATGTGGATCACACCAAACCCGGGTCATTTTGGTGTCCTCAAAAATCTAATAGTTATTCTCCAATTAATTTACTCCAATCCTTTAGAGTGAAGTAGATTTTATTTTCAATAAAAATGGTGCCAAAACAAATTAATCTTTCTTAATTAACTCAATTATATTAGTCTTCATGAGTGTCACAAAGGCTACCTACCATGTGTGTTTCTTTATAAACAAGGGCTCTGGCCATTAAATTTCAAGAAGGTGAAGAAGATCTTTGGTACGATACTGTCACAAACTCCGGATCACAATTATATACACATATATACATGTGTACTTATAAAATATATGTATATATTATATATATATATGTTCAACATTTGTTTTTCTAATAACATACTTTTCAGGAAAGAAAAAAATAAATGGAGCTGATTCCAAAGAGAAGAACACAAGATGAAAGTGGAGAACAGAAGACTGAGAAACCAGAAATTTCTAGTCCCTTGGGGTTCTACACTCTACTTCTATTGGAGAACTAATTTCTTTATGAATTTGGATCTTCTATTCTTTTCTTTGTCATTTTGTTTCATGTCTCTAATATATAATAATTTTACATTGCTTATGCAACTACTTTTTTTATGTAAAAATATATTATGATATAACGGTATAACCTCTTGTCCTCAATGAGGAGAGGATGGGATTCGAGCTGAGTTATGGACGAAAGAGTGTGATTGTTTTATCAAAGGATCATTGGCCTATTGGTATAACCTCCCATCCGCACCACTATCAATCCTGGTACACATGCATGTATATGCTTTTAAAATATATTTATGTAATCATCATTTGTTTGTAATGGCAAGCATTATTTTTTCTAATAACACAGGACTTTTCAGGAAAGAAAAATTCGAAAGGAAGTGATTCCAAAGAGAAGAACACCAAGTCTGCAGAAGAAAGTGGAGGCCAAAAGACTGAAAAACCAGAGATTTCTTCTACTAGTCCTAATTCATCAACTGATGAAGGAAAGTAGGTAAAAGGAAATGATGATGAGAAGAAGAAGCAATCGAAGACAGCAACGAAGAAAGTGGAAAGTGTTAAAGAATTAGAACAAAGTGAGTTTTGCGGTACACAATATGTTGATTATCCTGGTTAGTATGAGACCCGATTGAAGGAGATTACTTCCATGAGACTACTAATGAACGACTCTCATGGCCTGATAAATTATAACATGACATATTTGTCATAGGTTCTGTTTGGTTGGATAGAAATAGCAAAAAAAGAAAAGAAATAAAAAATGAAAAGAAAATTAATTTTTTTACCTTTTTATTGTTTTATTTTTTCCTGCACAAGTCTAAAATAAGAGTCGTTAAAGCGCGGTGCCAAAATTACTTTTTATTTTTCTGCACGCGACTAAAAATATAGCAATTATGGCATTGTTTGGCACAGTGTCTTAATAGCTAAAATGAGAGAGATCCACAAGTAAGATGGTGTCACGGACTAGGCACTAAAAATATTCAAAATCCGACGTAAGATAAGGACTCATTAGTCATTACATTCTCTTTCACCCAAGTTGGCCCATCCTACCTACCCCATCCACCCTTATTTGTTAATTTATTACATTATCCTCATGTCCATCTACACATGACACTCAATATTAATGTGTTCTAATTAATCTCATATAACTCTTTTACAGGCTTGTTAAGTACATTTATTTGTCAATATTAATGCTCTTTGTTGGGCTTTAGTCGTGTCCTTTAGGACTTGTCCGTCCTTCTGGTTTTGGCCAAAGGCCGTTTGTAGTTTTATAATTTCAATGTCGGTAGCTTAACTTTTCGAGAAAAAAAAATATATATTTATATATATATATATCTTGGTAGGATGAAATGGTAAAATCCACGCAAAAAAATAATAATAATAATAAAAGAAAAAAAAAAAAAAAAAAAAAGACAAAAGTGAAATATGTATGTTTAGTTGACCGTACGGAATGGGCAATGTGCGTCAAAGTAAAGCAGCAAAGTCAATTTCGTAAAAAAATACAATAAATAAAATAAAAAGAATAGAAGTCAAATGTAAAAGTGCATTAGACCATATTTAATGCAAAATGTCATTTTTACATGTTAACTTTATATTTTGAGAGGAGTTACAGTGTTAATATGCTATATTTTAGCAATTTTGCTCCAATGGTATATTTCATCCAAAATGCTACATTTTAGTAATTTTCAGCCTCCATTGAACTAAGCCCAACCCACTTCTAGCTTCCCCAATCCTACTTTAACTCTGACTCTTGAGTACCGTTGTTTTGAAATTACCTTCCCATCTTTATCATTCATTGCATTCTGTCTCGCACAAAAGAAAAAAAATAAATAAATAAATAAATAAACGACAAAATATTTTTAGGGCAAATCATTTCAGCCTCCCCAATCGCCTCCATCTCTATTCTCATTCTCGACTCTAAACTTGCCCTCTCTTTCTCTCTGCAATTGCAAACTACAAAATCTACAAGAATCAGAAGTTCCAAACCCATATATTTCAGTTTATCTATCTGTCTACAAGAATCAAAAGTTTAAGACCCATATTGGCACATCTTAAAAAAATATTTCCAATTAGTGGCCATTATAAGTTTAATGTCCTTAATATTCTTCAATCACAAGAGTGTCACAACCCCACCATCACCACCTCAATCTCTTCTCCACCAAAAATAGTTTTTTCCATCAAATTTGCAGAAAGTTCAACCTTACTTGTACATAAACAAACACTATCAAAATGAAAAATCAAAGCAACAGAGTGGAAGGATGTT